ATCTACAATGTACCCATTGCTTACAAAAGTTACATTCGAAAGCAGAGTCTGCTTGTTCGACAATAGAATTGCAGACCTTGCAATCGTCTGCCTTCTTGGGGAACGTTTTCGTCGTCTTGCGACGTCGTGAACGTTTCTTATTGGCCTTCCTGTTTGTTTCAAGGCCTACTGTGGATATAGGTGTCATACTATTCACCTGTTTGCTTAGTTTGGCTGAAGCTCTGGTGACTACGGTGTATGGTCTCCCATTACTTATCTTGGGATGAGAATCTATAGTCATTTTACTCCTAAAATAATACCGATGATTAAATGATAAGAGACAGCGGAGTTTTGTCCAATAGACTGACAGCAAAAGACAGTAGAAAGCACAGAACAGAAAGATAAAGTATATAAGTAAAAGCTTTTGACTTTACCTGTAACTTTCGGGTTATTCGGCTTCACAACAATCACGTAACAGACCAACAAGTCCTGTATATTTGAAAGAGTGAGGAGGATGTTGCTACAGAAGTAGCACCTGAAGCTTGGGCAGTAGTTCGAGACAGTGGGAAGTACCAAACACAGGCTCGGTGAAGAAGAAATGGTTGAATAAAATTCGCCGGATAGGAAGATCAGGTTTCCCAAACGAATTATTCACAAAAGTGGATATTTCCCGTTAAACGGAAAAATGCACGTCGTATTCAAGGAGCGCGCGTCTAGTTACGTATATATATACACAGCCGTCCCTTTGGCCACGATCTTCAAGCTCTGTCTCCTAAATGGAATGTTACCGTGTGACTGGAAAGACGCCATAGTAATCCCCATCCTCAAAGGAGAATCAAGTCAAAGCCCTTCAAATTACAGGCCTGTTAGTCTCACCAGCATTTTAATCAAGACACTGGAAAGAATCATCCAGAAAAGTATCATGGCACATCTGGAAGACAACAGAATGTTATCCAGAGTACAGCACGGCTTCCGGAGAAATTTCTCATGCCTGTCAAATCTCCTCACTGCAAGGGGAAGCTGAGTCAAGTCAAGGGACAATAGAAGACCCGTTGACGCCTTCTTCATAGACTTCAGCAATGCCTTCGATAAGGCACCTCACAAAAGACTACTCATGAAGCTGGAAAGTCTTGGTACCAAAGGCAGCTTACTAAAATAGCTTAGAAAATTCCTCAAAGACAGGAGGTAGAGGTTTAGGATCAACTTGAAACTCTCCTCTTGGACAGCAGTACGTAGCGGAGTGCCACAAGGCACGGTACTCGAACCTCTCCCATTTATTTTGTATGTCGATGCGTTATCTCTGCTCCCCCATGGTTCTGTACGCAGATGACTTAAAAATTTGGAGAGAGCTGAAGGGCAACAGTGATACGTCCACGTTGCAAGGGGACCTCAACAAATTTTCCAGAAAAGGATGCTCCCGATCAATGCAGCAAAATGTGCAACCATGGGCATCGGATAAGCAAGCATCAGCTCCTAAGAAATAGATGGAAGAACACCCCGATCTGTTTAGACTCATTTAGACTTAGTGTCATAGTTAGCCACGATTTAAAAACAACAGCACACTGTCACTCGGTGGCTGCACGTTGTTTCAGGTCCTAATGGGCAATTCGCACAGCCTTTACTAGAATCACCAGAGATATGTTCACCCAATTATATACATCTCTGGTGAGGTCAAAACTAGAAAACTGTATCCAGGCAGCCAGTCCTTGTCTTAAAAGGGACTCACACATTCTGGAAAGAGTTCAAAGGAAGGCAAAACGTATGGTTAACGGCATGACTGACTTATCATATGAGGTAGGACTAGACAGTTTAAATCTCTTCTCCCTGTCATACCGTAGGCAGAGAGGAGATTTAATCACAATGTTTAAAATTTTAAATAATGACTACGGACCTGACCTATTCTCTCTTTTCCTTCCCACCAGGTTGGAACACCTTATAGGACATAGCAGGAGAGTTCAAAAGCAAAGAAGAAATCATATTGCTGTTGAGTACTGGTTCTCACACCGAGTCATAAACTCTTGGAACCGACTCCCAGAAGAAGTGGTGTCTGCAATCTCAACTGATTCATTCAAGAAGGTTTAGACAACCACAGAAATTCAATAGAACAGGATTAACATAGACTTCAAGCCTTCTATCCTCAGCCAATAAATCTGAACATGAACGCAAGAGTGTACTTGAGCTGACCAACCATGAAAATGAGGAATTTCGCACAAAAGCTGATGTGCATTCACAAGAAGATTCATGAAGACACGTTAAACAGGGTATCTTTCACTGACATGACTTAAAAATGAGGAGTATCAGTTGCTAAGTTAAACTAGTTTCCGAAGTGACTGAAGACGAGCTGTTTTTGTGAATCGTTTATTTACAATAATAATTTATATTTCGCATAAACGGGTAGGTTTACAGGAAATGCATGCCACTTTTACAGGCACGACAAGTAACGTTATAAATTACAATCCTGAAGTATCATAAATTAGTGCTTTTTCAAAAGTTTAAATTGTTCAATTATTGTACAAGCAATCAGAACACGTTCTGTGGTTAATGATTGCAGGTATGGAACTAGAGAAACACTTGTACAAGATTTATAACAAAGATAGATTGTGTGAAACGAGTCACGGTAAAATGTAACGCAAATGTTGAACGGACTGCGTTGTATTGCCGTAGAAGAGTTAGAAAGCCAAAGCAGAATAAGGAGTGGGTGGAAAAGAGGAAAGGACAAAGAAACTATGATCTGTTTACTTGCCATTTAATGCTGTTTGTAGCGTAACATTTTATTCCAGAGACTAGCATGAACTATACTGAGCAAACATGTTTTGCTCGGTGGATAACCAATAACCCGAACGAGGGATAAGCCACACAATTTTGCTCCCCCTGTGTGTACTTATCATACTGACTGCTTTTGTGGACGCAGTTACTTTTGAGGTGCTGTTAAACAGCCTAGCCAACCTGTCACCTGACATCTCCCATCCTGGTTTGTTAAAAAGAAAGATAAAGCCCTCTGAAAATCTTCTGAGCCAGGTTTAGTTGATGGAGGTCATTAAGTAGAGAAGACAAAATCATTCAAGGTGATCCATCGCATTCCGCCGATTCTTTTCAGTGGTCGATGGACTCATCTACTGAATGTAGCTAATGCGATTAGCATTCGAACTATAAAGCGCTAAAGTCTGCATTGACGAGAAGTTCTTACGAAAGTTATCTCCCTTTGGAGAGTTAAAACGTTAAAACAGACCGACAACACTACCATCTCCTGTACATTTTAATCATTCTCCCATTGATCATTAGTTTTATCCCATCTTTACTAAAACTAAATTTATTCATTTCCCTTAATATCTGGCTTCGACGTGATTGTTTATTCTTCTTAGTCCTTATCCACTACATCTGTCTGGACACCTCTTTATAAAATCTTGCCACGGTATGCTCGTCACCGGTAGCTCCGCTTCTTCTACTTTGTTATTCATGGGATCACAATAACATTTATTCTAGCTAACTGCACTACTTATATGCACGATCTTATCATCCGATTGATTGGTCATTCTGACTAATTTCTACTTAATGTAACGTTTTCGGTCTTTTTGAGCAAGGCCTTTCCAGCTTCTGCCAAACCGCAGTTGGATTTATTTCTCAAGGAGCTATCTTTAAAATTCCATATATGTATGCACGGAGCAGTTCGTGAAGCCATGTAAATAAATCAATATTGCTATGAACAGTGAACTGCTGTTGAAATGTGATCCACTTATTATTATTGCATCTCTGTGTGTTATACCGAGTTAGATAGATAAATCTGTGCCACCTGAAGTAGCTCAGAATCAGTGGACAATAATAACCCGACAGAAAACTAGTTCCGACCATAGGATAACTACAGTCTTAACACAAGTTATAAACTACCCTTTAAAGTGGAGGGATCTCAAAGAGGGTAATGACAGTCTCAAGCCTCGAACATGTCCCATTATGGTTTCCACTTAGAGTGTGATTAAATGGGCTCACAACCATGCTGCCCGGGCACAAAAGTATCATCACACATCTCTCCATACAGCTAAACACCGTCCGGCCCAGTTATCATAGTAATTCATGACTCAGCAACCGTGATACATCGTCAGTCGCCCTAAGCTCACGTTTGCAAATTCAGTGGGCGGTTCATAGATAAGACGTTCACAGCCCTACACGAGTCTTTAAAGAGGTCCAAACTAGAAAACTTCAATAACGCAGCCAGTCCTTGCCTAAAAGTGACTAACGGATAGTAAAAATAGTCCAAAGAACTGCCGAATATATTATTCCTAGTATGAACAACTTGTTACAAGTTAAACGACGTAAGAAGTTGAATTTCTGTTCGTTATCATGCCACATACAGAGAGGAGATCTAATCAAGACATTCGAAATTCAAGAAAGTGAATGCTGGTACGGCTGATTCATCCTTCTTTCTCAACAAGATCGGGAAGTCTCAGAAAACATGGAGAGAGAGTTTGTCAAGTTATTCCTCTTCGAGTTATGCAAAGTATTCACAAAGGGAATTTACAAGTGCTAGCATTAAATACACAAGGAACAATATATTCTGGGAGCTTCCTATCCTCAATAAAAAACACTACTGAGGTAAATTGCAGCTAATTCACGTGAGTTTCGACGCTGAATATGCAACAATCCGTTGAATAAAGGGAATGATTGCTTTATGCCTTATGAGCATTTTAAAATATTCTGAGGACACCCACAAAAGAATTAAACATCTGGAAGCTCTTATCAGTTACGAGTGATACAGAGGGTAAATATTTTGAACCACTGAACTGAAATCAACTGGAAGTTCAGGAGTGATCGTAAAGTATGTTGAAAACAACTAACTCATACTTGTTCACTAAAAAAACCATTGAATACTGCTTGTTGTACTTGTGGGGGGCCAATCGAAGTGTTGCGTTATGTTTCGCTCGAAGATAATTAGACCCGTTCTGTATCAAGTCTGTAGGACCGTTACGAAGCAATCATGCCCATGTGATGCTCCAGGAGGTGCGGGTTCAGCTCCGATTCCCAAATCAATGGACCCAATTCAGCAATCATTCATTGCTAGGCTACGCGAATATCGTCAAAAGAGCGAGTAAATATGATTCTAATTGTAAGACTCATCTAATGATTCTAGGAAAAGTGCAAATGGTCTAGCAGATGCGACACCAAAAGAAGAAAAAGAGCTCAACGAAATGCTGGCCAAGGTGGATCGTATATTTGGGGCAGAAGGGAAAGATATGACACAGTTTCCTACGTTTAAATTTGAAGATCCCAAAATTGTCATGCCATCATCTTCTTTAAATATTGAATATCCAAAAGATCCGGAGGATACAGCCTAAGTTGGAAAGGCTATGTGATAATTCGTTTATCATTTCTACTGTATTTAGTTAAATATTTGAACTAAAAGCTTAGATTGTATACTGTCTCTTTTCGCAAACCTTTAATGATTTTGGAGCCTTCAGTATGCCTTATTATATCATTTTAAAGGGATCGTTTCGGGAGTTACTGGTTTGCCTACACGGTTATGTCACTGTGGAGACTGCTGAGAGTGATGTGTCCTTAGCTATCCTTTGTAGTCAGAAAGAAATGAAATCAGTTACTTTTCTGTCCTCTAGATTGGTATTTATAGTAACTAAATTCAATGGCTGCCATAATTATGAAATCGAGTGTTCAATAGTATGGATAAGCTTTATAGGTCAACCTATAATGAGTGTCAAGAAAGTTGAATTATCCTACCAGTAGTCAAAAGTAGCTTATTTGGTCAAGTCCGTTTGAAGGAACTTCTAGGTTCTATATTGACTGAGTGGTTTAAAATGCCATCACTCTTAGGAATTTATGTGGTTCAATTGTTTTTCTTTCGAGGCTTTGTCGATTCTCCCTTCCAACACAATCATGCTCTTCGAAGTTTTGTAAGGGTGTGTTTTGTAACATTTCAGGTAAGTTCCGTTAATAAGGTCTGTGGATCGGTTGTGAACGAAAGGTACTTGGAGGGATCATTTATCCTCAACCAAATGGTAACCATATCCTTTCTCAGTATATAATGATAACCCATGGTTATGAGTCATTCCTGCGTATGATTTATTCTCTTTGGTATATAAACGATAAGTGATTGTGAAGAGTATTTGAAGCGAGTCCACGAAGAGCCAACTCCTTGCGATCATTTTGAAATATATGTAAGTTTAGGGGTGTCTTTACTGCTAAGATTGATGAGCTTTCTCCACTAATATGATATACAACTGTAAAGAGAGTAGAAGGCTAAATACACAGTAATTCTCCTGTAGATCTTTGGCTCTGTTTAGTAGAATTGTGTAATCGTGAAGTCTGGCCTTTTAAGTATGCTTTCATCCACTGGCAATAGTGTAATTACTTCTGAGGTTCGATGGCCTGTGGGGATTTTGATGTAACTAGTAATGTTGCTTATAACACGGGCTCTGCTAGTGCTTACATGCGTACATATATTATTCCAGTTGCTTCCATTATCGTTCATTGTTTTATATCTCTGAGACGAGTTAGGGAAAGTTAAGTTACTCAACCCGTGACTTGGTACTCTAGGATGACTAGTAATTGTACTCGATTAACGTTAGTTGATTCATCTTAACTCTGTAGGTGTATTTAAACTAGATACGTATTTCGTGATATCATCAGGTGTAGCTCAGAATAGAAATCGATGGTGGATGTGTGGCAGTTTCGTTATTTCTTCTACTCTCAGAAGTAGCATGAAGTAATCCACACTCAGTTGAATTTACACGGTAAATTTGTCTGCCTTTCATTTTGCTGCCTCCTATGCAGTGTTAGTCTTAATAAAGGCTAGAGGACCAATATCCACAGTGTCTGTCTTGTGTGTTTTCATTTTACACATAGGCTTCTCTTTAGCTATGTTATTTCATTGCGTGCTGCCTATTCCTTAGTACGAATGAGGTAGCAGTTTAGTGTTTAAACAATCTATAGAGGTGGCTGTCAAGTTTATTTTGAATGACACTATTTACTTGCAAATGTTGCTGATAGAGGCGCTGCATCTAAGCTAAGAAGTGTCGTAATTTCTAAGCCGACTTTGTTTCTTGATAGCCGCATACTAAAGATAACAGTTAACTGCGAAAAACCGATATAAAAGTCATTCAGGACGATTCATCTGTTAAGCTACTAGCTGCATCTCTATTGTCCAGTTTTTAGAAGTCATCCTCTGTAATGGTTACTTCTCCCCTTATAGCATTTATGCTTTTCGAAAGGATACAGAAGGCTTGTTTGGCATATGCCATCTTATACAATCTCTGGTGTAGATGTGATATCCGGCTGTTGACCGAAGGGTGTGTGTAGTGCTAAGCAGTTCTCTCCGTCCTCGTTTATGACTGTGAGACATGGCGATTGAAAGTGGAAGATATGAAAAGTCTAGTTGTCTTTGGTCACAGGTGTCTGCGTTCTACCTCCCGTACTAAGTGGTATAATAAGGTGAGCAATATTGAGGTTAGGCGTCGAGTGCTAGGTAAAGAGGGGAAATCAATCGACGAAGTTTTGAAGTTACACGGATTGAGATGGTTAGGCCATGCAATACGCATGCCAAGCCATCACATACCTCGACAACAGGAAATTTTAGCTGACATAGGGTCAGGTTGGTAAAGATCTAGTGGTGGTCAAACTAAAATATGAGGTTAGTCAATGAAATCCACAACAGTTAATTTAAAGCAGTCAGCCACGTAGGGAGGTGTAGACTGCCAGTCTGGTTGGGGTCCTCGGGATGGTAAAAACCAGTGAAGTCTGGAGACAATTTGTGATATAGCTCAAAATCGCTCTCAATGGCGCAGATGCATTCATTCACTCTTTGTGATTTATAGTATCCAATAAAATTCTATTGTTCTTCCATGTTACTATTTTTTTATTATCTCTATTTTGAATCTTTCTTTACTTCTCTTCTCTTGCTTTGTGTGCTACATGGAGTGTGACAACTCGAACTGGTGCACATGTGTGCAACGTTCTATGTTGAAACCAGTCAGTCAGTTATTTATGCTTTTCGAAGGCAAGTTTCTGGAAAAAAGGAGGCATTTGTTGTTTAATTTCTGGTTATGAGGTGAAAGCAAGTAGTTTAAGTGACCTTTTTATATTTAAACGAGGACTACAGGTGCTGTTTTCCTGTCCTTTTGCTTAAAAGTTGGTAAACACCAACACGAATAACACAGCATAAAATGAGTCGAACTCGACGAATGCTAAACCATTCCATGTGGTGGTGGTTTAAAATAGTAAGCCTTATAGCATGGAATAAGTGATTTCTGTTGGTATTAGGTGGTTTGAAGCAAGCCTTGGACCCAGGTTTCGTACTAGTTGGCACTCACCAGTCAGCAAGACGTGTTCCATCCTTGAAGGAATTTTTTTTATTACAGCTTGATACCACACCGTATTTTCAGTACAAGTATGGAATTTTCAGCATGTGATATCGGTAGCCCGAATTTTGCAGGCCGAACGTAGATATCAGGTGTGCATCGGCAGGAGATCGAACCCCGAATCATATGCATGGTCGGCGAGAGTCCTAACCACTGCGCCTCCTCCTGAGATTCGAATCCGCGTTACCCAGTGCCGTCTGCAGTCAGAGACGTTAGCACTGATCTATTCACCCTCGTGATTGACCTCCTGTAGGACTGTATTGGATACGTTGATTGAACACTAGCCAGTGACTAGTGTGACGTGTTCAGTCCTTTGTTTGGTGCAGACTGAATTCTGTCAGTCAAGTTTACAATGTGGCCAGAATTCTAGGTGGCTCGTCATCATGGTGCACTTTGAATTGTTGGCATTAGATGGTTTGAGGCAATCGGCAGGAAGCTTTAGGTCAAACAAAGGACTAGACACACTACACTAGTTACTGACTAGTATCCAGTCAGAGTAAACTGGGTTGGTATTCCACTTTATTTTTCATTCAATTTCAAATCAACTTACTACATTGACTTTACATCATTGTGTTACTAGAGATATATGTGGCTCAGAACACTTTTACTACTAAGCTTAGTTAAGTGTTTGTTTTTAATTCGCAGTGTGTTGGTTATTTACTCTACGCTGTTGAAGATATTGACGAAGAATTTGTAAGGGGTCACCTGTTCCATTTATCTAGGCAGCGTCGTTTCGATCACAGGTGGTTTAGATAAGGACGTTGAATGTGACATCAGTATTCTGAAACCAGTGTAGAAATGTTCAGCACTCAGCAAAAGGAACAATATCCTAATTTTCAGTACTAGTTTTAAGTTAGTGTTTCTATATGGATCAGAGACTCTGGGAATCACAGAAGGCATTTTCAGCAGTCTGGGGACTTTCATCAACAGTTGTCGAGAGAGGAGTAGAAAAGAGGAGCTCTAGCAGCGAACCACTCAAGAGCTTATCGCTCACTGAATATGGTGAGAGAGATGAAGATGGATCGGACTAACGCTGCCGAGACTTAAATAACATCGCAAGTTAGCCCTTCGAATGGGAAACGATGAGTTGGGCATCCGAGTGTGACGTAGAAGAGGTTGAAAAGAGGATATTAAAGCTTACTGCCACTCATGAGGCCAGCTAAACAGGAGTACAGAGAGCAGTGATGAAATGAAGATGTGTTGCTGAAGCCGTGTATTCCACTCGGAAGCTGAGCGGGTAATAATTATAATAATCCTAGTGATAAGCTTCCTATTTCTAAATTGTTACGTGTTTATGCGTTTGAAAAGCTAGCCAGACTCCAGATTTTGTCTATCATTACTGATACATGTGTGTTCGTCTAGTGGTCTCATGAAATGTTTATAGATTTTCAAGTATCGGATTTCGCTAGATTTACTTTATTGTTTGCTTATCTACTTTTATACCACTGAATTATTTTTTCTGTTCATATGTATGTACGCACACTTAATATTATAACTATTCCATTGTGTTCCGAGTGGAACATAGGGCTTGAACAACACATCTCCACTTTGTTCTATTTAGTGCTGTACTATTCAGCTGGGTCCGCGACTGATCATAATCTCTTATCTCCTTCATGTCACCCTCGCACTGACGACCCACCTGTCGCTTCCCATTAGGATTCCACTCGAGCAATAGCCTGGTGTATGATGTCATTCGACGGCCTTCTCAACACGTACACGATCCATCTCCTTTTTTATTCTACTTATTTGTTGAGCGATCGGATTTTGGTCGGTTTGTTTCCAGCCAGAGTTTCTTCTTGTTAATTCTTTCTGGCTGACCGGCCATTTGATCTTCAACATGGAGCCAGTGAAGTTAGCTGTCAATAAATATCTACCCTGTCTGTCTGTTTTCAACGCAGAACTTTGCACGGATGTGCAGCAGTTCAAGTCGCCACACTCCATGTAGCACGCAAAGACAGAGAAAGTAA